CTAGATGTTGGTCCACCTCGTCTGCTTGAGAGTAGATGTTGGTTTTAAGTAATTCTGAAACAGAAATGCTATAAAATTTAGGAACAATTGTGAGAAACTTTTAAATGTATCAGTATTGCTTAAATCCTTCTCTTCACTCTCTTTTGTTATACATGCACATTCAGAGAATAAAGGGAGTTCTCATGATGACTGTAATTCTGTAGACAACTGGCTTTTATGAGTTTGTCCCCATAGAATCTTTACAAGTCCACCATGAAACAAGCATTGTACTGCCAAAGAATTCCAGGGACACTTGTTATAACATTAAATATGAAGGCAAGTCCTGTAGCTAACTTCCCTTAGTACAGAAAATTCTGTTGTTCCAAGCATGTGTCCCAAAATGTATCCGACATACCATGTACCTAATTGTATAAAGCAGCTTGGAAAACTTTGCTGACCATTGAGATATTTTAAAATATTAAACCTAAGATGTTAAAAAGAAAGAAAATAGAAGCATAAAGCTCAAATAGTCATTAACAACGAAAAAAGAGAGCCTAGGTACAGTGTTTTGAAGATTTGGGTCATTCTGATTACTTTTCTCGAATTGAATTTCTTATTTATTAAAAAGACAAGACAATCTCAGGAGAGCATCTTCCGCAGTTCTTTCATATAGAGACATAATACACAATGTTAACAACCATGTAAAACAATACAAAATGCTTTCAAATTTAACAAGTAGAAAAATATAACTAGTTTATATGGCAATTGTGAATCTAATACTGTACAGAAGTATTTATGGAATTTACAAATAAATTATAGCTTAAATGCCCTTTTTAAAAGTTCTAAATGTACAGTGGAATATAGGCTCTGAAGCTTATCACTAACTTACCACAAATTAGTGCCAGTCAAATGTTCTGCCAACAAGCTCAAAGAATTTCCTATTGGGTTCATGAAAATACTCATGCAGTTTATCAAGTAAACGGGAGTCTATTTGTGGGTGTGCTCTTCCTTTTGATTCATGTAAGCAACGTTCCCTACCACTGTCTCTTAGACAATAAAAGCCTTTAGTTTTATTGAAATAAAAGTTTGAAGCATTTATTTGAGGCGACAACCTTAAAAACCTCTCTACCTTCTCTATTTCTGGGAAGGGATCTTTGATTAGTTTATCCCCATCTACAATGTGAATGTGACCAAGAGGGAAGTACTTCAACCAGTTTTCCATGTGAATATAATATAAGCTTCTATTTATTGCCTTGTAGTCCACGTTGAGTTCACCATCTTTAATCAGAACTTGTTCAATGGAAGGATACAGCTTGTGCTTTTGCACATGATTATAGAACACTTGGGTGTAATCTGATAATACTCTCTCACTTGGATCTCTTAAAATAAGGAGTAATCTTATTGATTCATTCATGTTATAAACTCTTTCAGGCACTTTGGGTGATGTGAAATATGCTGGGGTTTTTTCCACTGTGATCTGACAGGGATAAGAGAATGGCATTTGATTAATATACCACTGTAGTCCATTTCCATAATGATCTTCCCAGTCAAAGAAATGGACTTCACTTTCTGCTGCTGCAATATTTGGATGGAGACTCAACATCTCTAATAAGGCTCTTGTTCCACCTTTTCTTACTCCAATGATGATCGTTTGTGGTAGCTGCTGGCGAGATCCATTAGAATGAATATTTTCTTTAAAGTCATTTTTGAGAGATGTTTTCTTTAAAAGTTCTTTCTGAACAGACTGAGAAGGAGCCTCTTCCTTAGGATGTACAGCTGGTCTGGAAGGCACTATATGAGGTTGAACAATAAGCAGCACAGCTCCCAGTAGAAAAGCTGCCATGGCAAAAGTTCTTAGTCTGGTTTCACTCAACCAGGTAATGGGGTAGGTAGCAATTTCCACATAGAACAGTCTTTGAAACTTGTGATTCTTTTGCTGAGTGTACTTCTCAAGCAGAAAAGTCACTAGGAAAAAAAAGAAAAACACATTACTCTCAGATATATCACTGCTAAAAGCTAAATTGAGATGCTAAACATTATCTCAGTTTCTGCAGCAGTTCAAATTTCCTAATTCTCTCAAAGTTAGACTTAGAAATCACTAGATATTGTTAATATTTCAAAATGAATGCAAAATGAATGCAACTTCCCAACAAAACGTTTACCAAAGATTTGGAGAGAAGACTATTATAAAGCTTTCTCTGGTACCTAAGTTGGAGTGTCATAATTTTGATTTGTTAAGAGATTTAGAGTTCTACTGGTTTAACCTGAGAATTTGATACTATTATCTGCAAGTGTGGTAATGTCTTGGAATCAAAACTTAGAAAGAAAAAGGACAGTAAACCCCTGGCCCATACATAAGAGTAAATGGGAATTCTAGGAACTGTAGTCTTCAGAGGGCTCATATGACTGCAACCTAGAAGCAAGTTCTGCTGGGAGAAAAGATTCAGGCAATAAAAGCAGAGTTACCTAGGACTACAGAAGATCTAAGAGGGCTATGGTGTTCCACTGGAAGGTCTATGTAAGAATGGCCTAGAGAAAAATGAAGCAGAGTGACATTCACTGCACATGCAGGTTCCCTTGTGTAGAATCTTGGGTGCAGTAAGTTCTCCCAAAATATTGTCTACAAAAGGTGGCAAAATCCATTCAATGAAAGGGAAGAATGTAAAGGAAGGTGCTTTTTTAAGGAAGGAAAGTGTTTTCTTATTGAATAACTATGTAGACAATAAGATTTTTATTTTTCTTCTACTGTTGTTGGAAGTAGAGAACTTTGATTTTCTTTTCTCCCCAAAGGGTCAAATCTTCAGTATGTTAACTCCTCTGATCAGGCAAAAGGGAAATGGGGGTACATCTGGGAAAATGAAGCACAATTACACCCTGATTTTGAAATGAGCCAAGATGTCCCTCTTATAACTATTCTATAGATACACCATGTTTGGAGTTCTAGAGTCTATCTTTACATACCTTTTTAAACTGAACATTTCTGCAAAAACGACAAATAAGTACATGTTGATGCGGATAGTTAGCTGCAGTCACATCTTGGGATAAGAAAACATCAGACATACTACTGAATATCACTTTGTGAGTTGACTAATGGCATTTGCCATAATGTAGAAGTTTGCTTTTAGCAAGAGATCCAGGTTTATACTGTAATGTGATTTTCATTTATTCCAGTTTGAATGCTTAATTTTGTTCTTAAAGAACAGAACACTTTTTGGCATGGTGTTATTAAGTTGAATAAACCTGCAAGAAATGTTGCCTCTGTTTCTTGATCATTGTGATTAGTTTTGGACCTTGGACATCTTTGTCATGTTGGAATTTGCTGGAAAGTACCAAACCTTCCAGCTAACAATTCTCTGAGCCAGCCACAGGTTCTTTATACTAAGTGTCTACCATTACTTAGCTGCAGTGAAGGTGTTAGCATAGACAATATTTTAGGCAACTACCAATGTTGTTTAAACCTAGTAGTTGTTTCTGGTAGATTAAAGGCTGTGGTATGTTACTTGTATTTAAACAAGGCATGGTTGTGCCCCAAATAGAATATGTATCAATTTATCTTGTTCTTCATATTGATTATTCTCATATAATAAAGGGCTTAGTCCATCTGTCTGTCTCTCCATAATGCTCTTGGAGCACTCGGATTGGTTATGGAAACAACCAGTCAGTGCTCCAAGAGTGATATGGACAGGAGGCGGCAGCAGTGGCACGGCACCATGACTGTGAGGATGGAGGGGACAGAGTAAGGGGACCAGGCCAGCACTGCTGGTGTTGCCCCCACCATGGCCCTGCTCCCTGGAGGTGGTAGAGCGCCACCGTGACAGCAGGGATGGAGCACGGGGGCGAAGCCAACAGCGCTGGCCTCTCCCCCACCTCCCTGGCCCTGCTCCTTGGAGGCAGCGGTGGTGCGGGTTGTTGGCGGAGGGGGTGGTAGGGCAAGCTACCCGCCCTGCTTCTGGGAGGCTGTGGTCATGCAGGGAGGGGAGGGGTTAGGGTTAGCAAGCTTCCCCCTGTCGTTCTTGATGGGAAATTCGCTAGTTCTCTCTCATTTGTAGTTGTTATTGTTCAATAAAAAAATGGAGCTGTACTGTTAGCCAGGAGACAGAGACTCAGAATGGGTCTGAAGAAGATATGGAAACCTGAAGAAGATATGGGAGACTCAAAATGGGTCTGAAGAAGATATGGGAACCTAACTTTGTATAGCTCTTCTGAAATGTATAGGGTTTTCAGGAAGAACTACAACCTGCCTTGTGTAGGACAGATGACATGGTCTGTTTTGTGACAGAAGATGTATGGAAACTCTGCGAAGTAATCTTTTGAATTTTCTTCCTTTTTGGCTCCCAGCTCAAGTTTTTGATACAGGGGCAAAATATGGGTATATGTTAATCCCTCTTTCCCGCTCCACCCTTCTAAACATGGTAGAGTTTTTGCCATGTCAGTGATACTCTTGCTAGTTGTTTTTTTTCTCTCTGTTTTAAATAGGAAATAGTATGGCTGTTGCTGACAGGAGGATTGGCAGTACAACAAAGCTTCCACTACAAGTAACTTTATCTGGGCACCCTGAATGACTACTGGAACTTCATATTGAGCAGCAATATGAGCAAACACTGCAGCAACAAGGGCTTAGAAGGAGACTGAAGACCATTATATTAAGACTATTAAATAACAAACCTGAATTAATTTTTGAGGCCATTAAATAAAAGAAACAGCCACTTCTCTCTGAGTATCTTTTAAGAATGAAAAGTTTATAACCTGTAAGAACTGCTCAGCCCAAATCTGCACTACCAACAAGACTTGTTTAACATTTAAAGATCTGATCTTAGAAGCACTTACTCATGAATAGTCAATTAGATTACCAATGAAGAACCTGATGCAACCCATGACACATGCTGGCACAACATACACTTTTTCAGTAATTTAGAAGGAGTGTCCCCATACTCACCAGTCATTACATTTTATTTTTGTGTAATGTTTGTTCAAGAAGGCATCAGATAATATATGCTATATGGCAATATTTGTAGTATTTATTGCCTTTATTCATGCCCAATTAACCATATCCTCAACTGTCTTTGCATTACTCCTTTTTGCTTGCATCCAATGATGCTTTATCTCATTTTTCTTTTTAATACACACAGTTTGTATTTGATTTGACAGATATTGGAGCCATTTCATTTGTGTTGTGTTAAAGTAATACAAAACAATGGACAGTACCTCTCACGCATAATTAATCGTATAAATTTTATACAGAAACCATATATTGGATAAGCAAAATGAAATCCATGAATAAAATTGCATATGGATCAAATTATCATCTCAGTTTTCTTCTCCCATGCCCTCCCTAGAACATGATATAAATCTGCATTTTATTTAGTACAATGACAATAGTTTACATAAAATAAAGATGCTAGCATACGTTATATAGCTGTGCAATTTGTGAACCTTCAAGAATTTATAACAGCCAGTTTGCCAAATTACTTTTCTTCTTTGAGATTCCCCTCCATTGCCTCTGCAAGTCATTTAGAGCATACCTGATTTCATAGAATGACTATTTTTCAGATTAGTATAAAATTAACTAACTGCATTGTATTAGTATTATATTTGCTACAAGTAAATGAGTGAGTCAGTACAAGAAATACAGTTCATGTTTAAATGATATTTTAGAGATTTTTTTTAACACATTACTTTTTCTTAATCTTCTTTTCAACCTTTTCAGATTAATAAATGAAATCCTGGTAACACAGTTTATTCAGTCAGATTCACTGTGGAGCATGCCAATTAAATTAGCTGTGAGTTTTCATTAAATACCTTGAAAACATTTTCTTTGAAGAAAATGCACAACTTTTTTTCTTACATTTCTTGTAAGAAAATTTGAGGGGGAGAAAGAGCTGTCATAATTGCTGGATTTCAGCTGATATTAATTAACTTCATCAGTAATATCTATATTGAACAATACTATTTTAGACAAACTTGTAGTCAGTGTCTGTAACCTACTTTCTCATATGTGGGAAATCACAAAAAGAAGATTCAGGCTAACACTTTTAAGGAAGACTTAGTGATTTAGGTGCCCAAGTTCACTAGAATTCAATGAGTCAGTAGTTTACCTCCCATACACTTTTCTAAAAATCCCAGCCAAAATTATTTGAGAAGAAGGAACAGAATCAGAGTCTCCTGGCTCTAGTTCTATGTAAATTTTGTTTTAAAAGCAACAAGCAAAACAAATTTCAATATCTGCATTAAAAACCATAGCTTATTAAACATGACAATATGGGCCATTCTTAGACTAGCCATGCAAAATATCAAAGAACATTAAAAGATTGATTTAACTATTATATGAAACCAAAAGTTTTTCTCAGTGCCATAAATAACAACTTCAAAGGAAAGATGCTCACTACCATACCAGTTTGCTTTTATTACTACATTGTTTGTACAGTTTCAGAATTGGTAACTTACTAACTCTGTTTAATCAGGTTTCTTTTACTTTAATTTGTCCCACTCCTTCAGTGCTACTGGTAACAGCCTTTGTGTTCACCAGCCTGTGTCTCATCACTGCTCAAGCAGGTCTGGATGATTCTATAAGTAAACTGTCATTAAAGCATTGCTTGTGCTAAATGGGGTAGGGAATTTTAAAGGAAAGAAATTCAGGATCGACAGACTCTCTGAGCTTGGTCTCACGAGGCTCAGTATCTTCAATAACTCTGCTTGAGGAGTTCTCAGAAGCGGGAATGATGGGACTCTTACTTACATATTCTGTCTTTATTAATAACACTTGTAAAACTAACTAGGCTGTGGGCAGCCTCCTCTTGGGAGGAAGTGGATACCTTACTTTGTAAGTAAAATAAGTTAAGCTATTAATTAAACTGAGACCTGGCTGCTCCAAGGACTTCAGTGAGACAGAAAACAGCCACTTGACTTACATGGGTTTCATGTAGAAAGGATAGAGAATTCTCACCCTGACTCTTAGCACCAATACTACCACATACTCTATAAAGTCTGGAGAGAATATATGATGCATGAGGCTAAGCATTTTCTTTCCTGTCCCTACCTTCTTCCTTGCAGAGGTGGAGACCTTCTCTTGAGGGACCCCTGAATACACAAGTGTATAGAAATACAGTCTAGCATATGAGATGCCAGAATAAAAGACCTCAGATTCGAGTGCTCACTGGTTCTGGCTCCTGTCTAGTGAAAATCCTCTGGTTGAAAGTAGGAAACAACAAGAGAATTTTCTGTTCCTCTATCTGCAAAGTTACACAAGTGTAACTTGGGCAGAATTTGGATCTTTGGATACTAGATATTTTGTATTGAATTATACTGTCAAAACCTACTTTAGAATACATATTCAGGCATACAGTTCTGCATAGTTTGAAAAAATCAATTTGGACTACACAATTCTTAAATCTATTACACTGGCTTATTACATTTGAAAATAATTTAATTGAGTTAATGTAAACTTTCCAAACAACTTTCGAAATGGATTAAAAGTTAAGAAGCCATACAAACTGAGAATTTTTTCCAAATAGCACTGTTTTCTTAACAGTAGTTATTTTTGTTCTAGTACTTTCATTTTTTAAAAGACTATCAAGTTCTCTACAAACTAATAGAATGAGAAAAAGTTGTTTTCACTACTTCATGTGCATGCATATTCAAAATGCCATACCTATACATAGCTATGGAATCTTATTCTCGGACAATTTGCCAGTCTACCTGAAACAGTAACAGAAAGTACCATTTAGTGGTACTGAGATGGGAATACTTCTTAAAAAAGCAAATATTAAGTTATCTATTAAGTGTTCTTAAAACACTTCAGTGGATTTTCTGTATTTTAATAGTTCCCTACTACAGGAAACCTTTTCCATTGCCCTTCTTATGAAGAGATGTTTCCCTTCAGCTTTTCTCCTTGCACTTTCTAAACCAAAGGGATATAATATCATTTTTAATAGATAAAAAGTTATACAGTTTTTAACATGGTAATAAAATATGTTTAGAACTAGCTTATGATTATTGGGAAGTGGCATCTACTTTTCAGAGCAATGTGCAAGACAAATGTTTTAAAAGAAACTACTGTACACACTAGTTGAGCTGCTGAGTTCTCAGCGGGCATAAACTATTGATCATCTCTCATAAGAGAGGAAAATCTCCCTTTGTCCAAATAAGATGAAAAATGGTAGCCAAACAAATTAATTTATATAACAAGCAGCCAAATTACATAATCCTTCTTCTTTATGTTCCAAAATTTACATTTTTTTCCCAAAAATAAAAGCTAAAGTTCCAGATGTCATTACACCTCTATAACACTGCAGTTTGGGGAGGGGGGGTGGAGGAGGGAGTTTTTAGAGCTAATATGTTACAATGGGAAATCTAGCCCAGACTTGAGTATATTTGAATAATACATAGTTTATAAAAATAGCCTTTTTTGAAGTCCCTATACATTGACTTGTGTGTTCAAGATGCCTGATTTCTGTGTGTGATATAAACACACAGTATGTGTGTGATATACATGCATATAAAATATGTGCATGTGTATAAAATATATCTGCTGAAATTGCATATATTGAAATCTGTTTTACTGGTGTACTCAGAGTGGTAAATATAGTTTATACAAATCATCTGGATCAGCAGTTCATGTCTTTAAAAATGGGTGTAGTTTTAACATTTGCAATAAATTAGCATCATTAAAATAGACCACGGTTATCTGTAACATTCTTTT